TAAACAAGTAACCCATACACTGCGGAACTGATCATTTTGTTTAACGTATAACTAATCCAACAGGATTTCGTGCATGTATGATGTCGCTCCTGTTTAACTGCGCGGGTCGAGACATTAACTTCTCGACACAACAACTTTCATCAACACTCATTGAAGATTCTGATTTGGTTTTCCAGGCCCCGCCAGACGTTAATTGGCCCCTGGGCACGGCTACAAACACAACAAAAAGCTTTTGTCTTAAACACAAAAACAAACACAATATATACCCTAATAATCTTAAAAATCCCCTCTGTACTTGAAGTAGCGACTGCGTGCGTGCGGCTTTCACAGGCGCTCCACTGGTTCCTCCAGTGACCGCCGTACACTCTGAACCAAAGGCAGCAGCTGGGCGCCGTTGCAGCACGCCGCCAAAGATGATGATGGCTACCCGTGAGGTCAGAGAAAAGCATACGAGGACCCAATGCCTTCCTCTCGGCTCTTCTGGCTATTCCTTTTCTGTTCTCTCTCCTCCTTTCACTGTTTCTCTTTTCTCTTTTCTCTCTCTTTAACATTCGTTCTTTCTGGTTCTTCTCAACCCCTCACCGATGCTCTCCTCACCTGCCGGTCCGCTCTCTTCTCCCTCACCTCCTCCTCCCTACCAAACAAATACCCGGGCGCACAAAAACAACCGACCGCCCTCTTCTTTTTCTCTCTTTCAACCCAAGACGCGTAATCGCATTTTGTCCCCTTCCACCCTAATTCCTAACTAAATTAGTTTACCACCTCATAGCCCCGGTCATACTAGGCGTGCCAACGACCCGCTTTTCCGGGGCACACGTCCCGTTTTTATTGCGACTTCCGCCGTGAAAAACTGGTACCCGGAAACTGCTCCCCCGTTTTTTAAATCACTAAAACATCATCGCATAGCACAGGTGAAATCAAAACGTTCTCATGTCACAGACCACACCACTGCGGTAACACAGAGGTCGCAAGCCACGCACTTCAGAAAAACACAGGTCAACCCGCCCCCCCACGTTTAGTTTCCTGCGTGCGGCGAGTAATCCTACTGCATTACGCGGTAGACGCTCACAGCACTGCCCCCTTCAAATCAATAGCTTTCTCGTCAATGCACCAACATATAACTACAAAAAAAAAAAAACACACCAAGACAGTATTCATTATAACCTACGGAGTCTTAAGACTCAACGAAATACTGTACAATATAACATGTGGATTCAATACATAATTCTAAAGAAACTACTATATAAAATCACATTACGATACTTACTGAGTGAATGTCACAAATGTAAGCCCTACCACGCTTATAGAAGACACATCTGACCATTTCTGGGCTGACCTCATTTCAATTGATGTTCTTGACCACAATCTCACACACCTCCGGCTAAAATAACATTACTCTTCTGAAGCACAATTTACCAAATGTATGCAGCTTAACAATCTCAAATTAATCTCATTGTGCGTCTATATTCCTTGATTTTTAATGTAAAACTCTTCGCATACATCAAAGATGCACTTCGAAGTCCAATCAACCCATAGCTTATTTCACTCAGTGTGATAGACGACGGAGACCCCATCTAGTCAATCAGAGAAAATCCGGACAATCTGATGTAGAGTTTCAAAATAAAATACTTTTGAAATCTCATATATGGGCTATCGTCCTTCTGTTTTTATACAAGAATAAATAAAAAACTGTCAAATTATCAAAGACTTATTTCACTCCAGGGTGATAGTAGGACACCCCATCTAGTCACTCAGAGAGAATCAGGACAATCTGAAGTAGAGTTTCAAAATAAAAGACCTCTGAAGTCTCATATATGAGCTATCATCCCTCTGTTTTTAGATAAGAATAAAACAAAAACTATCCAGTATCAAAGCCTTATTTCACTCCAGGGTGATAGCAGGACACCCCATCTAATCACTCAGAGAGAATCTGGACAATCTGATGTACAGTTTCAAAATAAAAGACCTTTGAAGTCTCATATATGAGCTATCGTCCTTCTGTTTGTATCCAACAGTTCAAATGTTCGAATTACATTGAACCAGAATTGTCCCCCTTTTTTCTTTAACAGTGAAGAAAAGTGGATATGTTAATGATATATTGACCGCAAAACTCAAAATGTCCCCGGTTTTAATTTTGAAAATCTGGTCACCTTAATCTAAAGGTAACACTGTATATAACCGTAATTTGAAGACTCACTAATGAACACAAAAGTTTGAAGTATATCTTCTTTGTTAGATTTCCAGTTTCACAAGGGCTTAAGTAACAAACAATATACCTATTTACCTACTATATCAGGCCACAAACATCCTGTAAGAGAGTGTTTTTGTTTTGCTGTGTTCTCTTTTACCTTTTCAGATTTTCCTAAAATGTCTCCTTTTTTCTTTTTACATCAGCAGCTCCTCTGATTACCACAGTTTCTCCGAGCACCAGTCTTCCTCCTCAGTGTCCGGAGAACCAGGTGAAGCTGGAAAACAGCACCGTCTGCAGCTGTCCATCCGGCATGGTGAAGGACGGAGACAACTGTAGCTGCCCTGGGGGCTTCACTCTGGAGGGGGCCGCAGGGTGTAAAGGTGAGGAGAGGCTTTAACTGAAGGTGATGTCTAATTTACTAGTTCTGCATTCAATAAGGGAAGTCATTGTAATTAAAGTATACAAATGAGGCTTTGAATATGGCTGCAACTGACTTAATTAAATGAGAAGATTATTTTCTTGATTATTTTACATCAATAGTTTGTTGATAAGGGTCAGAAAATATTGACAAAAAGTCCATCACAGTCTGGGCAGTATGGGACATTCAATGTACATGGTGATGTCTTTCAAACCCAAGTATAATCAAATGAATATGAGGAGGGAACTTCGTGATTTTAGCCTTTGCAGACCATTTACATGCACAAAAACCTAAATGACACACTACTGGAAAGGGAAAACCTCCAAAAACACAATTGGGCCCCATAAACGTTAAATCTATTATCAAAACTTTCGATAACTCTCCTTGCAGCACTCTTTAAACTATTCACAGCTATTATTTGCTGAAACTCAGCAATAATACACAGCCAAAGAAAAAACAACATCCAAGTAAAACAGAAGATTTCGTTAATGCCAGGTAAAGTACCAGGAACAGTCTTTATAAGAAGACAACCCAAACTTCTCTGACTACAATCTTCTTTTTGCACAAAAAAAGGATTTGACATTTAAGTGCTTTACGTAATATGTTCCATCATGTAGCACCTATTTGTATGCTTGGTTGCACACAGCGATGTCCGTTAGATGCAACACATTATCTTCTCTCTGCTCGACAGATGTTGATGAGTGTGAAGCGGGGGGACCATGTGGTCTCCACGCCGACTGCGCTAACGCACCCGGATCCTACTCCTGTAGCTGTCTCCATGGTTACCTGATGGGTGCTGGAGGGTGCAAGGGTGCGTCATTATCTGTGTGTGTGAGAGAGAAAGAATCAATGGGTGTGAGTGCATGTTTGAAATTGTTTATATGTACATTTTCCAGCCCTTTTGCCGTATGTTTAATTCATGTGTTCTGTATGTTTGTCACAGATATAGACGAGTGTGCTCTGGCGGTGGTGACGGGCCTGCAGGCGTGTCACGGCGATGCCGAATGCAGAAACACACCCGGCGCCTTCACCTGCTCGTGTCCCGCAGGATATGTAATGGCTCTCAATGGACGAAGTTGTGTAGGTGAGGCCAATGTTATCTGGTGTATGGCTCTAGAATGTGGAAGTATAATGAGAAAATGTATGTTCAGGAGCATGATATGTGCTGTATGGACTGTGATTTTCTCTTATTTTTCATATTGTATGACAGTATGGGATCCATTAAAACCATCTACAATCACACACATTACATGCTAGTACAATTAGACTCAGAAAATAATTCATTAAAAGCCTGTCCGAGAGCATCAGAATACAAAAAAAGGCCAAATCTGCTTACGTTAATAATTTTTCAATGGGTTGACAGTCTAGCACCAGAGCCTCTTTCCAGAAATATCCAAAGTGAAAGATGATAACATGTAACACAGTAATTATGAGCATGGTAGATGGTTGATGAACATCTCAATCTCAATTTTGACGATCAGCTTTCTCCATAAAGAGCTGTCAATTCTGAAACACATTACCAACTCAAATCCAATTAATTCCATATTTTAAAAAAAGTAACCGAAGTACGACATGTGTGTGACAAATAAAAAGTGTTTAATTTGATTCCTTTGTTTCTAGTTTCTGGTTAATGCTGTTAATTATTTACGTGTTGTTTTAATTACACTTAAAGCTTTATATTTTAACTAAACTGTACATGTTAAATCACACATAGGGGCACATAGGGATAAACTGCATTGTCCCTGTCAACTAAATACATCAAAATCTCGTATTTCCTCGCCTGGGGAAGCAGTGAGGGGTTAAATGTCTTCCTCTTTGACCGGATATTGGGTCTTATTATACTTGACCTCCATGCCATATAATCCATACGGGATTGTGTGAAGTGTTCGCTTCCTATTACAGTTCTTGTCCACGTTCTTACAGATGTGGATGAGTGCAGCTTCGAGGATCAGTGTCGCCGTGAGCTGGGTAACGAGTGTGTGAACATTCCCGGCAGCTTTACGTGCCGCTGCCGGCCGGGGTTCAGAGCCGAGGCCCCCGCCTGCGTCGGTAAGTCCGGTGTTAACGTTTCCCTTCCTCTGGGCCAGACTGCTGTCCAGATCTAATCGGGTGTTTCTAATATTCCACTTGAGTTAAACCAGACTTAATAACTTCTGCTGACAGGAAGGCTTTGCAGGAGAGAAGAGCTTTAATCCCCTGCTTTGCTGCTTGCCTGTGTTGTTATTACTTTTTGTTTACTATTTCGCTCCTTCACTTTTTCTTTAATTACCTATTTCCTCTCTTGTGCTCTAAAATCCTCCCAACGCTTCCTCTTTTTTCATCTTGTTGGGTTTTCTCTGCGACTCTTCTGCACTTCCAATCTCAGGTCCTGTGTGTCAAGACTACAACGTGTGTCAAGGTATGATGCACTTTCAAAGCTTATAGTGCCAGTGTGTAGTATTTAAAGTGCCAATATTAGCAGAACCTGAAAATAAGAAATGCGTTTTTGTTTCCTTAAAATTACAAATCTATCCCTTCTATAAGGGCTTAACTAATAAAACTAATCTTATGAGTGGACAAATGAGACCTTTATAACTACGTAGGAAGCAGGTCCTTTTCAAGGAGTCTGCCATGTTTCTACTGTAGCTCAGAACGGACAAACCAAACTCTGGCTCTAGAGAGGTACTTTTTTACATTACCTGAAGTCACAGAGGTAAGAAAGGCTGAACCAACACGAGTACTGAAGAGAGAGGCAGGTATAAAAAAAGTGCTTTGTTGAAATAAAGCTGGTACAAAAGTAAGATACTTAGGGGAGCAGGCAAGTTGAAACATAACAAAAGATAACAGCAAAAGAAAACAAGGAACTAGTTGGTTAGACTTGGAGAACACAGGTAGTAGAACCAGGAGGTCAGACGAGGAAAATCAAGATTCAGGCGGAGACAGGAAACCAGACACAGTGACAAATCGAACCGCACCAGGGAAACATTGACCACGAACTGACAGAGAACACAAGGAAGGACAGAAGTATAAATACACAGGGGTAATCACAAAGAGAGGACACTGCTGGGGAGGACATGCAAAAACACAAGGGTAGCAGGTGAGGAGAATCAGACAAAGTAAAGAGACAGAAAGTAAAACAAGACAAGAAACAAGGAAAAAATGCATTTCAAAACAAAGCAGTTAAACAAACAGGACCAGGATAATGACACGACCACCACCATAGTTCTCTGAAATCTGCAGTAATGCCAGCTCCCTTCTGTATGTAATGCTCCTGAAGTACTGTTAAGGATGGCCTCTGAGTTAGGCCAAGGTACTGAAAGATATCACTTTGATTTTGCAGTTTGTTGGCTAACGCAATCTTATAAGGGTTAAGCCCATATTTTAATAATATTTAACTGCTTTAGGAGAGTAGTGAATGTAGAGTTGGACAATGTGAAGTACTATCCTCTATTAAAACAACATATCCCCGTAGTGTTGCAGAAACAAGATTTATTAGGGGGGATCCTACTGGGGTTTGTTGACATGAAAATGAATCAGTTACATAAGGGTGGATTTCACAACAGTTGTTTTTTCACTCAGTAATAATGTTTTGCAGATTATGTCAGAGCAACAAGTGAGTGGTTTATGTAGCATTCTCTTCCTGTGTTCCAGATGTGGACGAATGCTCAGAGAGTCCTGCGGTGTGTGATGGTCAGGGTTTGTGTGAGAACACGCTTGGGAGCTACAAGTGTGTGTGTCGACCAGGTTACCGTGGAAACGGCACACACTGCGCAGGTAAATAATTAGTGCTGAATGTCCGTCCACGGGAAATCAGTTTCCTGTAGATGGGGTCAGACTCTGTGTGTGCGCGTGGTTTAATGCCTGTAGTTATATCTTTCATTCAAATGATCCCGAGTGGCTGACTAATGATTATTAGATGGTAATGATCTTTGGATCTGGTTTTTAAAAAGTGTGTGTGTGTGTGTGTGTGTGTGTTGTCTTTGCAGATAAGAATGAGTGTGTGTCAGGTGATCACGGGTGTGACATCAACGCTAGCTGTGGGAACATCATCGGCTCTTATTTCTGCCAATGCTACCAGGGCTTCAATGGAGACGGCCACTCTTGTTTTGGTGGGTAAGCAGTGTGTGTCTTTTCCACATGTTCTCGCCACTAGTGGTTCACAGTATCCAAAACCTTTAACACCCCCCCACACACACAGACACAAACAAATTAAATCCAGCACCAGTCACTTTTACGCTGCTTTGGAAGTATGTTTGCACTTATATATATCCTGTTTACTTGAAGTAAACGGTTATTTTTTGTAATTGTTCTTGTATTTTAATTTGTTATTGTATACCTCGGGACTGTGGGAAATAGTATGTCGATCTTTCTGTGTGTACAAACATATTTTGAGATTGACGATAAAGTTGACTTTGACTTTGTGTCATGCAACTTGCGTGTGCAAGCAGCACTTGAGCACACAGCACTCTCCAGAGACGAGTGCTTTAGGATTGTCCTTCTGTGCAGATATTGATGAGTGTGCTCTGAACAACGGCCACTGCCAACACAACTGCTCCAACCAACCAGGAAGCTTCAGCTGCCGGTGTGCCTCAGGCTACCAGCTGCTGGAGGATGGACTCACCTGCACAGGTAAAACACTGGAGCAGGAGTCAGGTATTGATCCATTCACACCTCTAAGTGAAGAAGGGAACAGTTCTTCCCACGTGAAGGAACAGTGGATCAAAATGTTATCATACACCAGAGACATTGTAACCAATTCAAATGATGTTGAAGGCCTCTGATAGTGCGGGGTAGTTTCATCATCAAAGGGATCTTCTCTTCTTCAGTATATTATCCAAAGGAGCCTTTTTGGTCTCTTGATCCAAACAAGCTGCCTCCTTTTAACATTTCCTTCTTTGAACCCCCACTCACCTGACCCTCTAAGTTTTTTAAAACGAGTTCTAAAATGAATTGCAAAAAGCGTTCGACTGTAGAATGAGCCTTTCATATGGAGTCGTGTTGTGCCTCTAGAGAAGAGCTAACTAAATGTTTCCGATCCCACAGATGTGGATGAGTGTTTGGCAGTGAACGGGACCTGTGATCACATTTGCATGAACACTCAGGGATCTTTCCAGTGCTCCTGCAGGGCCGGATACCAGCTGCACATCGACAGCCACACCTGCGTGGGTCAGTCCCTCAGCCACACTTCCCACTGTTTACCTACTCATTATAGGCATTTAAACCGGCTGATTTACCAGCATGCCGAGAGAAGAAAACTGCCATGAATATGCTATCTCATAAACGGATCTCGTAATGGCACATTTTGAAGGATTAGTGAGAAGAGAAAGTGAGAAATGTGTTGCATAGCAGAAATATGGGTGTTCAAAAAAGATGTTTACCTCGTTTCAAGTTTCAAGGCTTTTATTGTCCTGTGTACATAGCTACAGTGTAGTTATGACAATGAAAAGCTTAGGTCCCAGGCTCCTCCAACAGTGCAACACAATAAAACAGATAAGATAGTACAAGTAAATAAAATAAAATAGAATATAATAGAAACAGAATATGATAGAAACTGTGCAGAATAGTCTATATATACAGAAATTGGAATATTTATATATATTATATATGTGAGTTGCAAACAGATGAATGTTATGTATGTTCTTTCAAAAGTGTGTGTGTGTGTGTGTGTGTGTGTGTGTGTGTGTGTGTGTGTGTGTGTGTGTGTGTGTGTGTGTGTGTGTGTGTGTGTGTGTGTGTGTGTGTGTGTGTGTGTTTGTGTGTGTGTGTGTGTTTCTGTGTGCTCAGATATTGATGAATGTAAGCTCCAGCGTGGTGGCTGCTCGTACACCTGCACCAACTCTCCAGGAGGACACATCTGCCACTGCCCTGCCCCCCTGCTGCTGCACAGCGACAACCACACCTGCACCAGTACGTCTCTCATTTCAGTGTCTATCACATTATTAAGCACTCTACTTCATAGGAGGCGTGTGGCGCAGTGGAGTCAGCATGTCGTTGTGTCCCTGAGACACTCCACCCCAAATTGCTCCTGTGGGGATTGCCCACAGTATTGAGTATGTAAGTGGCTTTGGATAAAAGTGTCTAACAAGTAACATGTAATGTAATATTTAAATAGGATATGATAACCCTTTAATGGTCAGATCAAGTCTGAAATTTGACTTGCGTCAGAGCAGCTCCATGTGTAACATCAACATAGACAAATATCAATTATGAAATATGAATTGCAACTATCTAACATGTAAAGTCAAAGGCAAACTGCTTACGTTTTAGTGTTCCATGATTCTACTGATGCCCATATACAGTAACACAGCTTTAAAGAAATGTACTCTGTCAATAATCCGTTCTTTAGGACTGGTTACAGTAGCACTAATTATCAGATCAAATGGTTGAAGTAGTTTAAATAGTTGTTTAAAAAGACTTAAAACAGCAGCTTTAACTTATTATTTGCAGCGACTGTTTGTTTGTAAGACTTTTTTCATAATCTGTCATTTTTAAATGTGACTATTTTCATTATTGATTAGATGCCGATTCACTCTTTCAGTGATTTATCAAAAAAAAAATATATATATTATTAAAGGAAATTGCATGTTAATTGGAAAATTAAAACAATTTAATAATCTCACAATTTAAAGTCTGGAATTAGAAGGTTTTTGGGGCATTTTGGCTTGAAAAATGTAAGATTAGGTCATTTCACTTTTACTTGACGAATCAATTTATTTAGTTTTGCCAAGCCAGTATTATAATCTGTAAACAGTTAGTGTTAAAACCTTTTCTTCTTCACCTGTACAGATGTCACTTCTTGCAAGCTGAGAAACGGTGGCTGTGAACACGTCTGCAGCGTGAGAGCGGAGGGTCAGATCCGCTGCAGCTGCACAGCCGGCTGGAAGCTGGGCGACGACCAGAGGAGCTGCGTGGGTCAGGGCCATTTTGTTTCCTTACTGCCACCTTTGATTTTAAATTGCTGACCTAGTAGGCTTCGACTGAACTGAATTCATCCCAGAAATTAAGCTGTCTATACATTTCACCATGATTTTAAAAGGATTTTGGGAACATTTAATGCTATTTCATTTGAGGTCATTAACATCCAGAAACGTTAGATAGGATTTTTCTTTCATTTCAAGTATTTATGTTAAAATAACGGAGTTGTATGCCTTCAGACTTCACAATCAAAACAACCATATAATGAAACAGCCATACAAAGATCCCCAGAGGCTCATTTGCAGATGTTTATTGCTTTGTACTGCTTTTTAGAACTTTAAATGGCTGCACTCACTCAGCTTCTCTTTTATTTAGTTTGTGCCAGGCTGATAATTAAAAGAAACTGTATCTGGGTTAAAAGGCCAATGCCGAAATTTGATAATTGACCTTATGACTCTGAACAGTTTAGCTGCGGCCAAATTTCATGTGTGATAAGCCTGTGTGTGATAAGCCGAGCATTCCTTGTCACTGAGCCATAAAGGAAATGAACAGACTGCATAGATAATATGTGTTTTTTAATGTTGTGAAATGTTTAACTGTTTAACCTTTCGTCATAAGATGTGAACGAGTGCGGGGACTTTACAAACGGAGGCTGTGAGCAGCTCTGTGTGAACCATCCTGGAGCGTTTCACTGCAGCTGCCGGGGGGGCTACGAGGTGCAAACTGACGACCGTACCAAGTGCAAGCGTGAGTCAAACATCAAACACAAAATATGTCTATGGCAGCTTACAAAATGGACCTAAATGTTTCTGATCCACCAAAATGTGGATGAGTGATAACAGTATGGGGAAGTGTAATATTGAGAAAGTAATCATATTATAATAATATTGTAAGGTTGATTATTGGGGCTTTAAAAGATATGAACACAATGAGATTGTTGGTAAATAATCATCAGTAATGAGGATACCATGACTGAGTGAATAAAAAAACGACATCAATTTACTGTATTGTTCTCTACTTTTGTAATATTACGATATCAAAAATATAAGATGATATGTAGTCTCATATCACAATATCAACATAATACATACATATTTCCCAGCCCTACAACAGTATTAGCAAAAGGAACTGCTTTAGTCTGTTTTTTTAAAGGATTTAAATATTATAAAATGCTTATTAACTTCCCTGCTGTTGCAGCTGTGTGTAACACTCAGTGTCAAAACTATGGAGTGTGTGTGGCTCCAAACAGCTGCGACTGTCCTCCAGGCTACCCTGGACTGGGCTGCTCAGGTACAAAACTTGACTGTTTGACATGGATAACATTGATGTAGAAGTGTATATATTTATTTGCTGCTGCTGTAAGAAATAGACTCTTGTTGATGATGTGTTTCAGCCTCGTGCTCCCCACCCTGTGCTCACGGAGGAACCTGTATGCGCTGGAACAAATGTCTGTGTCCTCCTGGCTGGAAGGGAGCAGGATGCCACACAGGTACCTCACCTTTGACATTAAAGCTGAATCAGTGACTTTTACATATAGGGAAAGTCCCCTACATTCAAGCCTTTGCCAAACGATTCCATGGAACAATGATTAAGCTTAAAGGTCCCCTATATTGTTTTTCATTACTTTATTGTAGGTCTCAGATATATACAAAACATGTCTCTGAAGTGTTTGGCTTGAAACACCAAACAGATCATTGCAGCATTACCCATAATCCCCTCTGTTTCAGCCCTGTTTCAAAAGTGCTGATTCTGGGTCTGTTACTTTAGATGAAAATAAGGAGCCCCTCCCCACGCCCCTCTGAGAGATATTTGGTTACAAAGAACACAATGGTGCACTAGGAGGAGATTCAGGAGATAAGGTGGGGGGGTTACCTTGGTTGGTGATTGGCTAATGGTTACACAAGACAAAAAAACATGACATCACAAAATCGCCAAAATCTGATGAGCTCATTTTCAGACAGGTTTTTATATAAATGGATCAGGACAAAAAGTGAGCAAATCTTTTTTTTCTGAAACGTTCAGAATCTCTTTACACAGAGGGGACACATATTCAGACAGAACAAGTGGAATCAGAATACGCCCTCCTACGGCGAAACATGGCCATAGTCCGTGCTTTTCGTCGTCCAATCCTTTTCTTAAGGATTCTGAACCAGCATTGCAATTATAGCATTTGACGGGTGGCTCCGCATTTGTGTCGAATCCCTAGTAGGCTGCAATAACCCAGTTACATGTATAATAAGAGCACAAAAATCACAACTTCAGTCAACTCCATCTCCATCATGTCTGAGGTCGGAAGGTGGGCGTGGCAGTATCCGCCGTGAAGTTCTTCTTCTCTCGTTTTTTTGGCGGATTGCAAACAACTTTAAGGTGCATACTGCCACCTACTGTACTCGCCGTGAAGTGGTTTGCGGCCTGCCAGTAAACCCAAAGCAGAAGAAGACGAAGTGACGTCAGCGGCTCATTTGCGTAATCTCCGATTTATTCCATTGTGAACGCGATCTGCACTTAGTGCCCTGGGGTACTACTGCCCTGGTACCCCAGACTAAGTGCCGGCACTAAGTACGGCAAAGTACTTGGTGTGAAAGCGGCTATTTGCACATTTCCCCTGTATAGTAATTACTCTTACGGCCAGAGGGGGGAGACAAAAGCTCTGCACTCCAGCTTTTATGCATCACTTCTGTACAAGCAAGCACTGCAGAGTCTATAAACACACTGGGATAGAAGCTATTTTGAGTAAAGAAAGCAGAATGCAGTAAAAAAAAAAAATCCTGTTGTTTAAAAAGTTACGAGATGCTCACATTTTTATCGTCCTTCTCTCAGCGGTGTGTGAGCTGCCCTGTACTAACGGTGGTCGCTGTGTGGGGCCTGAAACCTGCCAGTGTCCCTCTGACTACACCGGCCCCCAGTGCCTCCTGCGTGAGTAACAGAAGCACAAACACATCTGGCTCCAGTTACAGCCACCATGCAGGTCTAATAAAATGTGTTGTACCATGATGGAAAAACAAATCATGTTTGGACAACACAATGTTACTGTAAATGACATTTTTTCTGACATAACACTTCTATTTCAATGTGTGTGTGTGTGTGTGTGTGTGTGTGTGTGTGTGTGTGTGTGGGTGTGTGGGTGGGTGGGTGTGTGGGTGTGGGTGTTTGTGTGTGTGTGTTTTGCAGCCTTGTGCAGCCCTGTCTGCAGAAACGGGGGAAGATGTGTGGATGTCAACCAATGCACATGTGTTGGTGGCTGGCAAGGTGCTCGCTGCCAAATAGGTGACATTACACTTACTCAAACCAATCAAGCAATAATATTATCATATATATTTCATGAATATGTCATGAGAATTGTTCCCTGATTGTCTGTGTCTGCAGAATAGAATGTGTTTTGAATAAATGAGACCATATGACTTCTAATAGCTTTTACTTTAACGAGGTGCTGAATTTGTTCTCAGCTCCTGTTACCTTTTACACACAAAGTTCAATTCACCTTCATCAGGAGGCAGGTTTGACCAACTAGAGAAGCCACTATGTGAGGTTTCATTATTCCACCAGAAATTGGGCCTGAACAAAATGGGGTTTTGGTTGTTACTAGTTATGGATGCAGCAGTTTTCCTGTTTTCAGATTATTTTGTTTTTGCTGCCTCATGCGGATTTTCTTTGGGGGACAAAGACAGCAGTGATGTTCGCTTTAACCTGTGTTAACCTGTGTTTTCTGTATTTTGTTTTTTCTTTTTTCCATTGATGAACTTTTCTGTATTAACTTTGGTCTGTTTTCTTCAAAGATGTGTTGTGTCTTTTTTGTGAAACGTTGTTCTTAGTCCTCTAAAAACCCCTTCAATTGAAACAATCTGAGAGGTAGAAAAAACATTACCACTGAAAAACAGAGCTGCCTGAAGTAAATGAACAGAAATAAAAAAGGGCAAGCGATTAAAAGAGAAAGAAAATGGCTATTTCTTACATATTTGGTTTTGTAATTGATCTCCAGTTATCTTTCGCTTTTAACTGTCTCCAATGACAACCTTTTAAATTACTTGACAGATAAATTGATGATGAAAATATTATGTTTATGTCCTGGTAGACATGGCTTTATTTAAAATAAGCCGATAAGGTTGGATACAGTATGTAGCTCTACAGGCTGCCAATAAGTGGAGCTGTGCAGCTGTAGAGCCGCACCAGAATATCTAAAGGCTAAAGTTAATGTTCACTGATATTTGAGAAAGTTGCTTAATTTACAGCGTCTATAATAAGTGTTCAACACTACAGCTTGAAGTGTGGTCAGAAGTAAAAACTCAAGATGGTTTATTTTAGGATTACAGAGTATAACAGAGTTGGACCTTTAATAGTGAATAAAAGAAAGAGAAAGGCTTCCCTCCTCAGGGTCATATTGTATTCAAAGCAAACAGTCAGTCTTGGCCCCTGATCCAGGTCACTGTTCATAGATCATAACACCAGTTTCCCCTGCATCAATATCACTGAAAGATGATCCATTACATCTAAATGCATGTTTCTCTGTCTCCCTCAGAGCCCGTTCAGTGTCACAAACCATGTAAAAACGGTGGAGTGTGTGTCGGCCTCAACAGGTGCCGCTGCGTCAAAGGATATACTGGAATTCACTGTGAAACGGGTTTGTGTGTGTGTGTGTGTGTGTGTGTGTGTGTGTGTGTGTGTTTGTTTGTGTGTTTGTGTGTGTGTGTTTGTTTAAGAGACCTTTTCTTTGCCGTCACCTTGCATTAAGACTCTTGCTGTGTGTTGTGTGTCTGCAGCTCTGACCACGCCCTGTGTGCCGCCCTGCCAACACGGGGCCACCTGCAGTCCTCACAACACCTGCACCTGTCCAGAGGGGACGGCAGGCCTGCGCTGCGAGAAGCTGTGAGTATCAACAACAACAACAACAACAAGATACACAAATAACACCACGATTCATTAATGTGTGGTCTGTCTGCTGCTCATTACTGGTCGGCCTTTTCAGGAAGTTTGTTTGCACATTATAGAATCAGAAACAGGTTTATTGCCTGGTAGGTTGACACGTACGAGGAATTTGACTTGATGTCATGGTGTATACATAAAAGTAAAACACATTTTTAAAACTAAATAAGATTCGGAATTATATTAACAACTACACAACTTTTTAAACACTGATCATGTCATTTTCACAATTTCTCTCAAGCATTAATGAATCTGTGCAAATGTAAAAATGTCATATGATTTATATTATGATAATAACTTATTGACTGTATTGTTATGAATGTGTGTTTGTGTCCTAGGACGTGCCCTGTGGTCACCACGGTGGTCAGCAGGGCTCGAGCCGTAAGAAAGGCGTTCAGGGAGAGTTACGTGGACCGCTGCGGACCCCTGGGGGTTCGGCTCTGCACTAAATACAGGTTTCTTACTTGTTTCCTTATTACATCCTCTAGATCTTGATTAGGTAGTTCATAAAGTTGCAGATGGTGGAGCTTATCAAAATACATTTAAATTTACTTTTAAGAATTTCCTGTCATCTCCTCTTATCGATGTTCATACTTCGATCACTACTTAGGCTTAGATTCAATCAGTTAATAGTTCTTTATTGTCAGAATGAAACATAATTGCCTTATGAAATACAAAGGTAGTAGCAGCATGTGTTGACCATTATTTTAAAGAGGCGCTATCATGCTTTTTGGGGTTTTCCCTTTTCTGAAGTGTGTTATTAAGGTTTTTTGTGTGTATGTGATTGTTCTGAAAAGGCAAAAAAGTGGGGAGTTTCTCTCCCACACACTCCCCGCCTGCCTGAAACACCTTCAATGGACTCCTTTGTTT